ATATTTTACTTTATTAATACTACTAAGCTTATTATCTAATATCCATTTATTTAAATTAGAGCCGATAGCCTGTGTTGCTAGTGCTTAATGTCTCTTTTTTTAGTCTAAGAATTCAATTCATTAGTGTAAAATTAAAATAATAATAATAATAATTATTCTTAATTCGCTAAAGCCACCAATTGAGCGTCATCGATCTTCTCATAAATCGTCGTAACTGTCATTACCATCAATAGAGGAAAGAAAATTGAATTCAACAAAGGGAAAGAAAATTGAATACGTATTTCTCATTTTTGCTGCTTACTTTTAAAACTTAGCCATTCGCGGAAAGCGCAAACTTAGTCTTATCTTTAACTTAGGCTTCTGCTAGCGTTGTAATGAATGCTTATGCGAATAAAGTACAAAAATAATGCGTGAGGTTAAACAACGAATTAGGGTGGAGCGATAATACTACAAAAGCCCAAAGAATCAACAAATAAAAACTAATCATTTTATTGGATAAGTGTGTGTTACTGCTATTAAGCAAATCAAAAGTCTATTCTATTAAACAAATCAAAAGAAAAAAAGTTAAATAAACTCTTGTTAAATGTTTTCATTAAATAATATCAATAATATGTATGGAGGCAATCAACGGCTGACGATTAGCGATTTTTATTTAACCGTTTTCCAGAGCCTTTTTTTTGTTGTTGTAGAAGAAAAAGGTTGCGTGAAATGGATTCTGTGGGGTATTAATGCACCGATACAAAATTAGTGCCCAGGTGAGGTGGATTGTAATTTTTTTATATATTTATGACACCAATATTACCAATAGTAGCAAATTTTAGAGAGAAAAATAAAAAATCGGACAATCCAAAGAAAGAAAAATCAAAAATCACATAAAAAGTAAAAAATCTAAAAACTCAACAAGAAATGAAAGAAAGTGAATCATAAGAATGCAGTAGGAAATATTAGGAAACCTCCTTTTAGTGCGGTTAAACGTAGTACAAATTTTGTCAGTTTTTGTGCCCAATTTCTCGAAACTTCTTCTTATTTTTCAAAGCGGTGGCTGTAGGTAAACGTCTAAAGCGCTGTTTACAATGATTGCGTTAAGAATATTACGTGGCACATAACGCAAAGTCAGTCGAATACATAGCAGCTCGAAGAAAGATCATATGGCATACAGATCAACGTTAATGAAGTGCAAAATTAGAAAAAATTCTTTGAAAAGTAGAAAAAAACATTTTTTTTATAAAAATGTAAACGACCACGTTGAAATCATTTTGTTCTTGAAACATCAATCACGTGACTGTTTTGTTTTCACGAAATTACGTCATTGTTTTGATTGTAAAATGCTACACACGTAGAAATCTGAAAAATGTGTCAAGAATTCGTGTTCTTCCGCAACGCAAGTTAGCGTATTTCTCGGACTATAAGTTCCACGTCACGCATAACGCTGTTATTGTGTATTGCATATAACGCGGAATAATCATTGGCTGCCTGGCGTATCTAAATCCACAAAATGTGTGTTTTCGTGTAGAAGGAGGTTTGTAAGAAATACGCAAAAACATTTTCGTACATTGAAATTTTTGTTTAGCTTTAGACGTTACGGTGCAAATACACTGGCGCGTTAGAACCAAAATATCTTCGTGAAACTGTCAAACGTTTAACGCAACGTTAGCGAAAGCTATTATGCAAATTTCTTCTTAGATATGAAGCCATAATATATTTTATTCATCCGTATGAATTCACAAACGCATACCCCACGTCCTTCATTTCAGGAACATGAAAATATTTTATATGAATTATTGGAACAAAAATCTGCGACCGTAACCGGTGACTTGGACGATTTTGAAGTAGATGAAGAGGAGGAATTATCTGATTGGGAAAATAGTATTGAGACTAGTGATTTAGATAATACTAATGATAGTAATCTCGAAAATGATTTGGAGGTATTTCTTCTAAACATCAGAATTATATCTCTTACACTTTTCCTTTCGTTGCAGGATATATCTATACTTATACCAGAACACTCGCGCTATATAACAAATTTCAGTTAAAGATTTTTTTGGTCTTTATATCTCATTATTTTGTGAAAATTTAGATTTATACATATGTATGTAAGTTAAAAAGCCAACAAGCAAATATTGCTATTAAAAAATGGAGCTTCGCTCTACTTTATGATCAAGTCAACATATTTTACAAGTCATCATCTTACTGCCATAAATATATTGTACCGGTCTTCCTCTTGCTGGTCGTATATTTTACAGGTCATCATCTTGCTGCTCATGAATATTTTGTACCAGTCTTCCTCTTGCTGTTCACACATTTTACAACTGCTCAAATATTTTACAGGTTATCATCTTACTGCCATAAATATATCGTCATAAATACATAGGTCCTTCCATGTAAGCTCTATGCTGGTCGGGAGAATTGCGCCCAATAGGATCCAACAGCCAAAACGGAAACCAAAGCTTTGGTCTTAACACAATTCTACAAATAAAATATATTCAGATAAGCAGCTTGTAACACTAGGTGTCATTTTCTTAGCAGCACCTGATGCTCTTGTTTAATGTTAAACAGCGAAGCATCACTTTGCATCACGGCGCTCAAAAACGAGCAATGTTAGCTGCTCTGCTGCTCTGATTTCCGTGCAAGCCAAATGATCAATGTTATGAAAACCTAAATTCATTATTGCAATAACCAAACATATGAATCATTTCATTAGTAAGCATGCCCTGAACTATGCCTTGTTTTCTCGCCATATTTTGGCCGACCACGATTTGGTATACCTGCGTAAATCGATTGGGCAACCAGAACTTTTTAAAGCACCCATCATAAGTCGCATAAATTAAACATAAAAGCATTTTTTGTTTCTGTTTTAATACTATAAGTAATTATTTAAAAAATAATAACGGCATAATACATTAATATTTTCAATTCAATAATAAGAATTTTTACATGGTCTTATTAGAAGGAAAATTAGGAAATTAAATTTCTTACTTGCCAAAGAACAATGTTTATTTATAAACTAAATTAATAGTCACCGTAACCTTTAGATGTCATTTGTCATTAATTCATATATTCTTAACGCAAAAAAGAAAAAAAAAATTCTGTGAACATTTCGATATACTTCGCATTCGATTGTAAAAGAAGTAATGCTTTATAACAAAAAAAGATGTTAGTTCATAGAATAGGCAAAATGACAAAAATTAAAACCAATTCATATGCTTATGGTACAAATTCAAATTCCTATGAATAGAAAAGTGTTACAATTATTGCTTACTATGTTTTCCTATTCTGCGTTGTACTAAGTACCTGAAAACAAAGTTCAAAAAAGGAAAAAAAAAAACCAAGAAAAAGCCTTAAAACTTTATAAAAACTCCCTACTCTTGTGCATGTTTAACATTTAAAGTATAGTTAATCTAGCAAGAAAAGAAAAAAAAAAGGAAAAACGAATTCGATATATGAAAATAAATAAGAGATAATACTGAACAAATGTAGTGAGCGCAGCAATTTGTTTTAGGAATTCAACGTTTCCTTAAATTAAAGTAAACAAAACAATAACGGAACAAATGTTCCAATAGCTATAAAAACTGGTAAAAGTAATGTAAAATCGTCCATCGAATATCGATCCTGTTGTCTCGGACCATTTGGTGGCATTGGCGATTTATGCGCTGAAGGCATTTTTGTAAAGATATTTTCTGATTTTAAATCCATGTGAACTAAATCATTGGAATGTATATAACGTAGTCCTTCGGCTACATGTAATAGTCATAGTTTCAGTTCAGATTCTACCAGCGAACGTTCCTGCAGGAGAGATTGCAAGCCGTCGCCATTGCAGTACTCATTTTGAATAACCCCTGACTCCTATAGGCCAAGGCGCATTTCCAATAGCCATTTCCAGAAAAGCATCACTAGCTGCTACATAATTTCGATTCAGCGAACGCTGACATATGTCTAAAATATCTTCAAAGTACGATTTGTCAATTTGCGAGACAATGGTTTAAAATATTCTCGCTTGAGTGTAAATGTAAATGGCACGCGTTATTTTCATTTTTGGAGACATTTTCCCTTACTTCGAATAGTTGGAAATCTGATCATTCCAAATTTGTTAACAAAATGATTATTACATCCTTATCATAGTCCAGTATCACAAAGCTTTGAAAACAAAGCAAGAGATAGCAAGAGATAAAAAAAAGTTAACATTATGAGTATCAAGATTGATGCAAACATGAGTTCAACATTGACGCATTAGTCCCGAATATCATATTCCCTTGCCAAGGATCCATTTTTTGAAATTCCCTAATTCTATTTTGATTATTGGAACCTGACAGCAAACAAACAACAAAGAAGTAATTTTACTGTTGTAATCTCCAATTCAGTGTTAAACAATAAGAAGGTCGATGTTGAAATTGTTCAACGCTTGCGTAATCAGGATCGGGTTCGTCATTTTATAGTGCCTATTTCAACTGCTTGGTCTAGCAGAAAGGAACGCGTCAACAAAGCGTTAATATGAAAAGAAAGAAAGAAATTCTTTAAAAAATAAAATCTCTTGCAGGAGCCTTTTAAATTTTTGGAATTCATTTTATTTTTCGTTTTTTATATCCACCACTGAAGGATGTGGGGTATACTCATTTTATCATAATTCTTGCAACTTGCAAAGGAAGTTTTAGCGACCATATAAAATAAATAAATTATTGATCAGTATGAAATTCTAAATTGATTAAACCATGTTTGTCCGTCTGTGTGTATATGTGTTTGTGTAGTGTTTGTTGTTGTGTGGCGAGAGTCTCCTGAGAAACATTGAAAGTTTTTGCACACAGGTTGGGATTGAAAATGAGCCAAATTGGTCAGAGCACAAGCCCGCAGTCAAGCGTAAATTGAAGGCAACTACGTTCTCTTAAATAAAGTTTATGGGGTTTTGCTCATTATTCAAAAACCATGAAAGATTCCCTTACATAATTTACAAAAAACTATTCTATTTACGTGCAAAAATGGGAAAAATCGGCAATGCTCACACAGAGTTATAAGTGACTAAATTTCCTTTTCTTCAAACAGAATGTTTACAAATATTTTGTATATAGCTCAGCTGAAACTAAATTATTTGCCTAAAAGTGCGTTCATTCTAAAATGGATATGGTGTACGTCACGGCATGGCCAATGGGTTTTCTCTTAAAAATAGCGTCCGCCTGGGTAGTAAATAAAAGGGTGCGGAGAGTGGAATGCGAAACGCTAAGTGTGTTATTTCAATTAATTATGATGGGCTCAACGACGTGGTAGATTAATTTTTCTTAACAATAGCTTTTAGTGAAGTGAAAGGTGAAAGGTATTCAACTGTCAAAAAAACAATTTTTTTTTTAAATCTTTTCAATTGTAAAAAGTGTATTCAAAGTGTCAAAACAAAAAACCATTTTTTTTTTCAATTTATTCAAGTTTTGAAAAATGGAATCAAATAAAGAAAACAATAAAGGTGAAGAAAGTCACTTAGTCGCTTTAAAAAAAAGTGTGGATCGATACGAAATGAAATAATGTCCTTAGTGGATTCCCGGCCTTATGCGCAAACGGCAATAACCAGTTTTGACAATTTGACAAGCTCGCAAAAATTTACGTCTTGCCATGAATTTTTGTCACAGTCTGCTGAGTTATTGACAAGTGGAAATGAATTTCGTATCACTGATGACGGGTTAATCGAATGTTGTAAGGAAGCGGAAGATACGATGAAAGAAGTAAAAAAACATAAACGTTCCAGAAGGAGATCATGATGACAACAAAAAAAAGAAAATATATATATAATATATATAATATTTGAGGACTTTTCTACATCGCCTTTTAACAGTGCTGTAGTATCACCCGAGAGTAACTTAAGGAATTTGGAACGGTCGCCTTTATTCATATTACGGAAAAAACCTCAAAAAACTACATCCGTGAATTTAGAGGAAAGGCAAAATTGGCTCTTTTATACGATCCTACGCCAGAAAGTAAGTGGCTCTTTACAGGCTTTTTTTAACAACCCTAACTTTGTACATTCTTTTTAGGAAAAGCTTCAGATCGAGGTTATCGAGAAAGAGGACACTTACAACGTAAATGAAAGTAAGTTGTTTTTAATATTTGTGAAGAGACAACATTTAAGTTAATCCAAAATTTTTCAGCTTTGGTGCCATCCAATCACTTTAAAACTGAGATAAGTAACCATTGCGATTGGGATGAAGATGACGATGACGATGACATTTTTGCTTCCGTAAGTACTCAAGAAATCCTACATCAGGACGTGAAGATCAATAATTTACCTCATATGTCGAAGTTTCCAGTAAATAAGCAGATTACTCAGGTTATGCATTGATGTTCCTCACATTTTATTATGCTTATTATTTTTATTGGCTTTAAAGGTAATCAAAGAGACAATATTAGTGGGTACTCCAAGAGCTTGGTTCTGAGAGAAACTAACGTTGCATTAGAACTTCAAAAAGCTAGCGGAGAACGGCGGAGTTGGGAGAAGACAAAAACGCAGTTGGCGTGAGTGAAATTTCTATTGAAAACGAATCGAAAGAAGTGAAAAGTAAAGTGAATCGAGATGAAGTGGGCAAGGTGAATCATCTGGGAAGTTCGCTTGTTTCTGCTAGTTTTCAAACAGCGAATGGTAAAAAAATCTCCATATCGAAAAAAAGCCAAATATCCGTACAAAATATTCGAAGAGAATTTCAAGACAATTTGCAAGAAACGAAACTGAACTAAAAGACATAAAAGCTCGGATGTCGATTAAAAGTATGGAGTCCAAGTTTGGAAAAATACAAACAGCAGTGCGCAAATAGCCAACAAAACAGCCTCTCAAGCGACCGTTAAAATACATCAAGATAATGTTGGCAAGGTGAATAATCCGGGAAGTTCGCTTGTTTCTGCTGGACTGAAAGATATGAGAAATCGCAAAAAGCACTTATTATCATTAAACCCCAAATTTAATTATAGGCCACCCCAACTCTGTGAGACTCCCAATAGCAACTTACGACAAGCCGAGACGACGGAATTAGGGGAGTTTGTTAAAAATGATGTTGAAACAAGTACACCATGCGTCAATAGGAAATTGCCAGTTCAGGAAATGGAAAAAGATAACGACGCAATACCGACGGCAAACCGACCAAAGAGGTAGCGGCTATCGGGCTTAAGACGTCGTCATACTAGTTCGAAGAAATAAAAACTACTTTATATTACATTGTGTAAAAGCAACGGAAGCCATTTTTTGAATTCAAAAACGTCTCGATATCTTTTTTCATTTAAATTAGTTTTGCTATTTTTTCGCATTTTATTTAATTAATGACTTTTGGATGTATTTTACTTATCCTTGGTTTCTTGTATCTTTTTGCTCTTCAAATATTTATATAGTTATAGCTTTTTTAGTGTTTATTTATATTCATTCCACATAAGAATGCAGTTTTTAATAAATGAAAACAGAAAAAAATATATACTCATGGAATATTATTCGATTTTCAAATTTTTGTAGATTTATCTGCTGTAGTTTATGAATAATGAAGAAGGTACGCAATTTTTAACGTCACATTGTCTGCCCATATGAATTTGTGTTCAAGCTCTAGGTCGCAATTTATGCGATATTTTAGTGAAATTTGGTACACCGCCGTATTTTGGCCCAAGGACGAACACTATTGAAAATGGTTTGAATCGGTCTATTTTTTCATTTTAGAACGTTTCAATTTTTAGTAATTGTTCGAGTATGTGTATAAAAATTGCCTACATTTGAGAATAAACGTCCACATTTGTCTAAAATTTTAACCCATTCACTTTTCTATGGCAACAAATGAAAGCCGCATTCTTACTTGTTGGCGTTCCTAAGCTTTAAAACTTTGGTTTGAGATTGTTAAGTAGAAGATTGAAAACCACAATTGGTTTAAAGCGTGTATTGTTCGAATGTGTTCATTTCGATCTGCAGTTTTTTACCGTTCATTAACTTTTAATACTTTTCGCCAAGAAAAGTGGTATCCGTGGCCATAGCGATGTTTCTTTCTCAAGAGTAAACTGCTTGAGGGACGGTATCAATGCATTAAGTGCCCTAAAACTTGATCTTTCGTGAATATATGACATTCGTAAACCAAATGCATTTCTATTTTCGTACGTTAACAATTTTTACATCAGGATATTCAATTTCTCGATTGTATTATATAATTCTTTGTTCTTTAATATTTTAGATATAGGCTACAGATTACAGACGAAATTAACGAGTTTTCTGTGGGTTACTAGTTCTAGTTACTAACGATTTACGGTGCATTTTAGTGAAAATACAGGGAATACTCCGACAGCCATTATTCTTTGTGCGCTATTTACCACCTCCGAGTAAGTGTTAAATGTTAGACGTGCCAAAGGTTTAACGATTTATTCCATTTAAAGCAGAACAGGGAACAATCTAAGCTTAACATATACGCTCTTGATAAAATTTAAACGGATTACCTACACATATTTTAGATACTTAATATTCACACAATTATGCGCTCATTATGTTTAATTGAATTGACCTTGTTTCCGATTTCCAATAAATTTAAGAAATATTGCCAACAATAACGAAACAGAAAGAACCAGAGTCATAAAGTTAATAAGAGACAGATGAATACAGGTGAAGGCCTTATTTATATATACACAGTGAGAACCTTAAGTCAAAGTTTGCTGTTCAATTCAATTCTGTTTTGGCACTGACAAATGATTTAAAGCGCAAAAGTGTATGTACAGGCTCGAGAGTGCCTTGAATGCATACCTTGATGAATAATGAGCAAATAATTGCTCCAATTGCTTATTCGCGCCAAAATATAAACGACGCTACGAACCATGTCTTTAAATGTACTAATTTCCTGGTAATTAGCCAAATTCCTAAGCACAATTTGATTTTAAAGGGATTAAGAGCTAGCAAAACTCTAGAGTATGCACTATTAGTAATTGAACTGATGAATTTCATGCGAAAACTTTTTCATTGGTAATGCGTATTAATAATATCTTTCTGTAATATTGGAATGGAGTTTTGTCTGATAACAGACACTAAAATGAGGTGTGAGTGATCTTCCTTTTAACTTTGTCCGTGTTGTTAGAGTTGGTTTTCAAAGTGTTCCATTCCGTTTGCCTCATCTGATACTTGCTTTTTGCTAAAATCCCTTTCTTACATTGTAAATCAAATTTCGTATATGTATTTGTAATACATATAATATTTCTAAAATACTGAAAAATTAAATATTTTTCATAGCGAAAAGATTATAAATTCTTTTCTGCTTCGTTTACACGTACGATCGCTTGACATCGTGATAATAGCGAATCTCTTTCTCCATCTATTCTGAATAATAAGTTAAAACTAAAAAACAATATAAGGCTAAATGAACATAAACATGTATATTTTAGTCAATTAAATGAAAATCATTGTTTAGGTTCCCTTTTTTATAACGCATTATATTTGCTCAGCTAATTATTATCATGAAATTATTTTGAAAACAAATTGTGTTTTTCACGTTTTATTTATTATGCTTTTTAATGTCATTGTTATTTTAAATTTCATAATGTTTTCATTTCATATAAGTAGAATAAGACTTTTTTCCTTTTGCTTTCACTAAATTTGATATAAATATTGTTATTGAGGTTTTTTGTATATATATTGATTGTATATGTGTTGGGTGTGTCCTCATTATCATTTCTGTGTTTCAAGTTATATATTACGATCTCATGTGTGGGAATAATAAAAATTCACTAAAAGTATATAGACTTAAGTTTTGAAAGTCAACAATAGATGTGAACGCGATACGACATTTTTAAAAAATTTAAGTACTTGCAGATTATTTTTGATTTTATTATTATGTCGGATAATATGGAACATGTATGCATTTGTATGATTGTAAAGTTTAGTTACTATTAATAAGTATCTTGGCTATAATATCTATCGTTTTTATATTTTCTTTGTTTTCATAAAAATGTGCTTTTCTTTTTTCTTTGATGTTATTTACTACAAAAAAAGTGTCATCTGTGTTATGTAAGTGTAAATATATATGTACGTGTAAGTAAACATTCGATTTATTTATTTCTTTTTTTTTTTTTTAAATTTCTAAGAAAAAGTATATGCAATTGAATTGTGTCTTTTTTTTAGCAAAACGCGTTTCGTCAATTCTGTCGGTGGTGGTGATGATGATGGCCAATTGGAACGTTGTCAAAAATACATAAAATATACAAAAAGGGAAAAATAATAAGGATTAAAATATTCTATGGCTTAAAGGTTTAATCATACAATTATATCTGTTTTTAGTAGATCGGAGGTATACAGTAGCTTAAAACTTTTCATATTAACTAATGATTGATTGATCGATATACAAAATTGATGGTCGCTGACCCTACTTGGTGTAATTTTCTTTTTAGTATAAATTAAGTTTGCGTGTACTGGGAGTAAAGCCAGAAAGTTTTTTAATAGAAATTTGTATATGTTTTGTGTGTTCAAAAGGTGGGTTAAAAAATTATTATAATTTAGACGAAAACAATACTTTTTTCATTTTTTATTATATTAATTGCCTTAAATTATTATTTCATAAATGTATTTTCATTTAGAAGATCCCACTTTTTATCAATGCAAATGGAGTTCTTTTTAAGTGTCATAGTTGTCTTAAAATTTTCGTTGATTTTTATTTATAATTTTTCGTTTTGGTTCTTTGCTTTTGGCGTTTTTTAAAATTTATTTATTTTTGATTTCTTAAATAATAACTGTTGTACATAACTTTGTGTTTACGCACGTATATTAAACAATATGCAGTACACTCAAGTGTTAACTTTCTACTTATATCGTAATATATATGCATGTGTACGTAATTTCGCAATATGTTTACTTCTTAATATCGTTGTTAATTATGCTCAAACGACGAATATTGGGTTTATCGTAGTCCTCCATAGAAATCCCTCTAGACAAGCGTCTACCATTCGAGCCCTCGAAGGAGCCGGAGCTGGTAGAAAAAGCGCGACCGCGATCAACGCCGGGCATAACCACAGAGGTCAACAAACCTTGTCCTTTGCAGAACAATAATATAGACTGGGCCACCTTGGCCGGCTAAAAATAATAAAACAAAATTATATTAAACAATAATATTTAAAAATACTGCTATGTAAAAGCGTGAGCCAAGACGATCGTTTTGATAATAAATTAAAGAAGGTATGTTCATTTTGGGGAAATTCTTGAATATATATATATATTGCCCCAAGCATACACAAAAAGATCAGAACGATCTTTAGCAATGGCCTGTAAATAGGTCCATTGAGAAAATGCACCAAACTTTAAATTGTTCAACGACAATTTGAAACCCAAAGATTTGAAACCGTTGGAGCTACAGTTTCAGGCATTTCGATAATTCCACACTTTGCGCGATATGCTTCAATTTATAAAAGGCAAGTAAGAAAGTCACATTCGGGGTGCGCCGAATCTCGCATACCCAAATTGCTACTATTATTAAGAAAATATAATCGCAGATAATATATCTTCATTTAAGGAGTGTACGAAATAGTTTCAAATATACGGTCTTGTTGTTTGCCTTATGGTAAATAAGGATAAAACCTGAAAAAAGTGAAAAAAACAAAATTTGATCACTTGTAACTTTAAGTGGGCATGGCGGATGTTTTCCATTTTTACAAATTTCATCCTTCTAAGTTTGTAATTTCCGAGTAACCAGAAAAAATTCAGAAATTGTTGCTAAAATAAACGGAGTTGCGTTCAGCTTACGGTCCGCTGTGCACTTGAATTTGGACCGATTTGGCAAATTTTTGAAATTAATCTGCGTGTACAAATATCCAATGTGAGGAGTGTGCCATGGCTAAATCAATTCAGAATTTATATACTGTATAGAGTCTCCGAAGCTTCCTTTAGGGTGTTACATACATTATGGAAAAAAACAACATGAGTATACCCCCATCTTGGTGAATACGAAATGGGCTCTAATTAGTGGTAAAAAGTTTTTAAAAATGTATGATCGAAAGTTTTTAAAATTAAGTGAAAGTTGTTTTTTCGATTAATTTAGTGAAGGATTTATGTATTCTATTTCCTAAATTTTTCTGAAGTATTTTTTAAAAGCCTGTTGGGAACGGTTTGAGATTTGAATGATTGCACCTGCTTTTATAGCATTAAATCACTGCCTTGGTTTTATAGTTAAACAATTTGTACTGTTCAACATTAAACGATAGGTCAAATTTAGCTATAGTGCGCGTCACTGTTAACAATTGTGAAACAGCTTTGAATCACTTTTATAACAACCGAGTCACTGTGCAGCAAAGAATTTTAATTTCTCTTTCCCTTACCGCATCAGCCAAAACGTCACCAGCTCTTTCGATCTTTAGCATAGTTACTTTTTCCTTTTCGATGTCGCGATGTAATTTCTCCACCATTGAAGCATAAGGACTTAACATACCGGTAATCAATATAACATCTACTTTGCAGCCTTTCAATGTTAAATCTTTACGACTAAAAAATAGAATACCAATAAATGTCAAAAACATTTTTTTAAATTTTCACTTACAACTTACTTCATAAATGCTTTAACATAGAGGCCAACATTTTTGCTATTCAAGGAGCCATGCAAACGTTTTTGATATTCAGTAACCACCTTATCTTTATCTGGATTCTCACCAACAATTTGCTGCAAACGCGTCACAAGTGCGACGAATTGTTTCAAAAATGTGTTTTGTGCGTTCGGTTGTGTATGTGTGTGTTTTTTTTCGTGTTGTTATTGCATGTATGTGGGTATCAAGAAATGTGGTTTTATTGGTTACAAAATTTTTTTACCAAAAATTTGTTCAAGAACATAAAATGGAAATATAAAAAAGTATTCATTAATTTTCATTTTAAAATCGCTGTGTTTAAGTATATACAAAACAAGGACTTGAGATTATCACAAAATACTCGCATGCAATATTTTAGGTGTATATCGTATGTAGAAAATAAAAGAATTATAAGTCGGTGCAGAGGAGTTCGTGCATTTAGTATAACGCTCGTATATAAATAATTTGATCGTAAATTTTAATATACGGTGATAATAATAATAATAAGCAATTGTTGCTTGCATGCGTTAATATCTATTACCATTGCATAGACCACAGACCATTAAGTTGAATTAGTGGTGTTTTTGCTTTTTGTCTTTTGCCACTAAATTTGAATATTTGAGAAAATAAATCTATATGTATATAGAACCAAACTACTATCATAAAAAACAAATGAGATAATTATTTTTTACTTCATCATCGAGCAGGTTTTGAATACCCACCACCACCCCAAGCAAATTGATAAAAATATCCAAGATTTTAGTCGATCTTGTGTTATTCTGCGTAAACCACAATTTTACGTTACGTAAATCTGTTCGAAATGTTTTACTTTGCGAAACTTCGAAAGTCGTTCTTAACGTATCTTAATTGTACATAGAATATTTCAGATGATTAACAAACCCCAATATTTTTTTATTTGGGTATTTGTGCTCTTCGCTTTCACGTTCCGCCGGCTTACAACCATTTTCAAATTGATTTGCAAACTTAAACTAACAAGAGCTCTAGCAATTTGACCTTTTTATTTTAAATAGCTCTCTCTTAGTGTTCAAGCAGATTTGAACGACGAACAGTCAGAGCAGCGACTAATATAATTAAATTGGGTAGGAGTTGATGAAAAGTATTCACACCCAATATGTTACACAAGGAATGTGGTGGTGGGTATAAAAAGCAGCGGACATTTTTTTTATGCTAAAGAAATAACAAAAGTTTTTTATATCTTTTAAATAATAAAATAAAACTCTTTTAAGAGAAGCATTCAAATGAAAAAACGTGAATGTTTTGTGGTGAAGAGCAAAACTTTTTCACTTTTCAGAATAGCGAAACTCCTTTTCTTTTTTCCTGGCTTCTTTTTTTCGATATTAAAAATTGCAATACTAATGAAATACAGAGGGAGCTCTGTACTCAGCTTAAAGCCATGCCTTAATCACTTAAATAACGAAAGCAACTGCACGTTCTTTGTCAAAATCGGCATAATAAATGTGAATTGAAGCTTACTAACGGTGAAATTCTGATGTTCTTTATTTGCCTTTCTTAAGATTGTTTTAAATTTTTAGCTATCGTAGACATGTTCGTGACCGCATTTAGCATTTAACGCCGACTAACCTTTGTACCAATATCAAGGTATGATTGTTGTATATGACTGCAATCCTTTCTATAGATTTTCTAATCTGCGCTCTATCTCAGTGCAACAAGAATCTTTTGTCAAATTACAAGAAAATAACACCTTTTTAAGGCACCTCCTTATATTTAATAATCGTTAACAGATTTGCTCTTTACCAAAAGCACTCGTCAAGAGATAATTTGTAAGGCAAAAGCAAGCAATTTCTAAAAGCTTACTAAAGCATATCATACGACAGGGCTAGCGCCAAATTTCAGAGTGGGAAAACATGAATAGAAATAAAAATAAAAATATATTGCCAATATTTTCTAGCGGGTAATATTCTACAGAGAGAAATGGCAGAAAAATGTATATTTTTACAAGGATTTTATACGCGAAAAGAGAATTCGAAAAAATAAAAAAGAAAAAACAGTTTCCAAAAACCGCTTAAAGAAGAAGTTTACAATACCTCCATAACCTGTGCGGAAGAATAGGTTGGTTTTCAAGTGTTAAATGTGTGATAATAGTTGTCGGTGATAGTAATAGTAGTAGCAGTAGTGGTGGTAGCAGTAGTAGAGTAGTAGTAATAGTAACGTGTTACGTAGCAGTAGTAGCAGTTATTACGAAGTTATATATACGATTGTTTGTTTCAAAACAATTTGTTTTCGATTTTTGTTTTTTTTTATCAATAATTAATATTATTACCGGTATAATTTGTTTATTATGTAAGTAAAAAAGAAAGAAGAAAATACATATTAAGATAAATAATAAGAGTAGAAAATGTAACAACAAACATTTTGTACACAAAATTTTAACTGTATTATATATAGGTTTAAATATTATACTTCATTGATTTGACTATCGCCATGAATGTGTTATATATACTTATAAGAGTACGTGAGCCATGATCGCCTTAGAGCGTATCTTTTATATCCACCACTTAAGATAAACATATGAAATCTACATACGTTTCTGTTAGATGCGGACCTATCGGACTATTTCACTAGATATTTTTTCAATCGAGTAAGAAAGTTAGAATTGGTTAGCAGAGAAAAATCGTATTCTCAAGACGTATGGTAAATATGCAGTACTAAACTCATTCGAATTTGTACTGGCGTGGTATTATCGCCGGCTCGAGCGCGTTTGTTTCTTTAATGTTGCCTTTGAAAAATAAGATAATAAGGTGCATTCGCATCAGTTATTACGATAAACTTGGAGAAGTGCTACGGTAGGTAAGTTGTCCCAATTTTTAAGTGGCATGTTCATACATCTTTTGGATTACTTCGGTATGCTATGTGTTGTCGCAATAAGTTGTTGCAATCTTTCGTGGAGGCTATAGGTGTATATGTAAATATATGTAACAATATATCTGTATGTATGGTGTGTTTTAACACTTATAACATATAAAATTTAGTAGGAATTTTATTTTAAGAAACGAGATAAATATGTTTAATATAAGCGTATTTCGCAGATAAGACTTACATGACCGAATTTATGATACATTAGGAAGCTCTCAGCAGATTGAGCGACTTCATCGCTCTTCCATTGGATTAACTGCAAGCACAAATTGAACACGTAACGAAAAAGGTAAAGATTTGTTGAGAATTATTTTCAAATTTTCCTCAATTTTTTTTTGTGCTTATCCCACTTACTTTCGATTTGAATGATTGCATTACACTGGCTGCACTGCCAGTAGCATTAATCAATATTAAACCCAATGCCCGTGTGGGATGAGCTAAACCAAAACGTGCCAATACATTGGCACCGGCACCTTCTCCCAAACCAATTACATATTTTACATGCAGAAAGTCCAAGACTGTCACCAAATCTTCACCCAATGTTTTTAATGATGGAAATTGAAAGCTGAAACAGAAATGACAAACAAACAAAAAATAAAAGTAAAAGAGAACTTCAGGCATCATATAGATAAGCTTATACATTTATATGTATACATATGGTTTCAATGGGCCCATGAAGGTTGTCTAAAGAGTGCTTCGCCACTATTAATCCCATTTCTCATAACTTGCTTTCAATCGTTTTAGGATTGGCTGGATTTTTCTTAGATTACGATGTCTTTCCAATCAAGTTCGGTATCTTTAGGGGCGTCATAGTGAACTTTCTTACTCCACGTTAAGATTTTACCACGAGGTAAGTTCCTATCGATCTTATTCACTTGCAATGGCATTAAATACGTACCATCAGCAAACGCGCTTAACTGCGTCGTAGGAAATTAAATTTACAGCATTACTTACGAAAATTCACGGGTTCCAACAATACTTCACAAAAATACGTTTTGTTATCGTGTGTTTGTTACACGTCTTTTTACATCCGAACTCGAACTCGTTACGTTTTAATAAACACATTCGATCGAGTCAAAGTTTCCACGTCGGATTATGTGAAGCTAACGAAACTAAGTCTTTGCTTGCTTTCTTTAATTTTCCAGATGAGCAGCTCACTTTATTGTCTTTCCATTACTTGTTTAATTACTCCTGGAATGATTTTAGTTCGCTACGTTCGCTATGTGTAGTTTTGTGTGATTAATTGCTTACGCCGAATATCCAGGCATATCCAGACTATGTCGAAATTTCCGAAACAAAAGCGTTTGCATCACAACGATAAGAGTATGTGCATAAACTCTGTAAAGGTTTTAACGGTGATAATTGAAGTAAATTTTTGATATGTCGCTGTATTTTGTGCGGGAAGTTCATTTATTTTTCTGGCGGAGACGCTTATCCAAGATAAATAGTTTGACTTCACCTGATGATAACTGAAAAGGCGCCGTACTTTTTAGACTACCCGATATGATTATTTTATCATTTACATAATTCTCAGCAGTGGCTGGTAAAGGTTTTATAGTAATTCATTTTTAACCAATGCGCTTAAAGGTATCAGAATAGACGCAACCACTTACCTCTCTGGTAATGCTTCAGCATGATCTGCATGACCTGGTACGTCGACATGTAGAAAACACGAACGTTCTCTTATTTCGGTCATGCAAGGACTATTAACAAACTCTTGCAACGAATTATCTGCATACAAATACATTAGTGATTAAAACAAAGAAAGGGGAAAATAGTTATTTTCATTATTGCTACTTATGGTATAAAAGAAGATGGATAACTATATAAAATTTTGTATTTTTGTATGATAAACTGATGTATGTAAATTGTAATGAAATATTAAAGCGAATGTTAGTCTACCACCATTTAAATGACTTTTCTCCTTTAAAAGAAATAGTATTATTTCCTATATGTTTCTTCACGTTTCCAGCAGTTATACAATACAACAATTCTTCCCCGTTAAAACTAAACCCATAACAATGAAAGTAAAGATGACAAGGGAAGTATGGAAATGCACACGCCCTTAGACTAGGAACCCATTTCCATAAGAGAAAGAAATTTGTAGTAAAAAGTGCAAAAAAGGAAACTTATACTTGCTCTGAAAATAGATCTCAGATATCATCTTAAACTATGTATATATATGTATATGCAAACATTGTTATGGATTTTTAAGAAAATAAGTATGTAATTAATTATAATAAGCGTTAATCAAGAACAGCAATGAGTAAGTAATAGAAAAAGCAAACACAATACTCTTTTTATGTCCATCACCGAAGGATGAGGGATGTATACATTTTGTCAAAACCTTTGCAACGCCCACAAGGAAGCATTAGAAACTCCGTAAAGTATGTACATTTTTGATCCGTGTCAAATTCCGAATCGATTTGAACATGTCCGTCCGTCCGTCCGTCTGTACAATGACTGCTCGCTTGGCCGCAAAAATGAATCTATCGACATCAAATTTGGTAGAAACATTGGAAGTTTTTGCACGCAGGTAGTTATTAAAAGTGGTCCAAATTAGTGAGAACACAAGCCCGGAGTGAAGCGTAAACTGAAGGCAACTCCGTTTTTCTAAACAAAAATTTATGAACATACATTATTGTGTAAAGCGAGGACACCGTTGTTTTCCCAAAGGAATTAAAAATTGGTTTTTTGCTCATTTCACATAAACTATAATAGATAAATCTAAAACAATTTCACCGTATATTGTATGCGCGATGCCCTTAAAACCTCTACAAAAGTGGAAAAAGTCGACTACATTCACTTAATTTTATAGAGTTTAATTTTTTTTTTTTCAAAACTTTTGCAGCGCACATAAGAAAGATTTAAAAACCCTACCAAATATATAACTTCGCGGCCAGTTTCAAGTTCGGAATGGACCTAAGCATGTGGGTTCATTAATCTATGCACCTGCGCAAATGTGTAGTAGTCGTGGTAAACATTTTCCCGTTCGAAATAATGAAGGTATGGCTCACAAACTTGCAAAAGAATTTGCAAGTGATCTAAGCTTTTCAAAGCTTTTTTTCTATTGAAAATAGAAAAAATCAGCCGCAAGCAATTAACTTAACGTTAGGGAAAATGAAAATATATATTTCTTTTACTTTTTTCCCTTTTTTCCTATAACAGTAATGGGTATAAAAAATTCGATTACGGCTGTTTGGTTTTGCTTCCTTTCGCTTATTTATTCTCCCAAACTTGTAGATAATGAAAGGAACCGGTAGAAATCGGAATTTTTATTAATATTTCGATATGAACGCAAACAGTGTTTTTGTGAATTTTACGTTTTTATCAAGTTCTTTTTAGATGAAGTTCGTGCCGCAGAATTGCAATTTTTGAGGTAGAGTACGTTTTACTTGCAATTCTTGGGAGGTCCATTTATAAATTAGTTACAGGAGCTTATATTTACAACACTTTAATTGACGTTCTGGTCTTTTCCAATCGAACATTGCACTTCAACTCACTTGACTCGCTGCAATTTGGCTTCCGCAAATATTCTGCTTATATAGCCTTTTAAAAGCAACTTACCGTCACTTAAATTCATCTCGATATTTTTGGTTTAATCTCCCTTCCCGCTAAATTCATGCTAATTGTTGTTAATCTTTCTGCGACTCGCTAGTTGCATAAGTTAGGTGAAGCTTCACGGTTCCGTCTTTGGTTTTTCCTTTCTTTCTAGAATTTAGTTCCTTAGAAAATCGACTAAATCTCGTACATTTTCATGACAATACGTTAAAGCTAACTAAAAGTCTAAAATAGTTAGAGGTAAATTTATTAAAGGCTCATCATCGGTTTTCTAAAAACTCTTTGTATGTATAAATAACAACTAGGATATTATTATTATTATTATTATTTTAATTTTAGACTAATGAATTGAATTCTTAGACTAAAAAAAAAGACATTGAGCACTAGCAACACAGGCTATCGGCTCTAATATAA